TTTTTTTTTCATTTTTTGCAGATCGTGGAAATACCACCAAAACTTTTTATGGAAAAATTGCACAGTTTTGGGATGTGAGTACAACTGTTTTATGAATGTGAGATGAAATGGCTCTTATGAATTAGTATACTATAATAATTTGAACTAGTAGACTGAACACAACTATGACAAATAAGGTTTCATTCGACAATGATAGATTGTTAAATCCTAATGGGTATTAAGTGCTTTTTTACTTCATGTAGATATTTTGAACAATGGCTCCCCTTGCATTCAATGACAGTACATTGATCTAAATGATGTATATATTTAATTTTTTTTTTACTGCTAAGAACACATAGATCTTTGTTTCATTTTTGGGAAAATCTCACTATATTTTGTATATACCTAATTTACACCAGCACCAATATTAATCCTTGGCATGTTTTATTCTATTAACTTTAAATCACATGTGAATCTTGCATTAAATTATTTAGTAACAACATGCTTATTTTGTTTATTTTATTTCAGGACTACCAGTATATACTGAGTATTGCTATTCCTGTATGTGTGGGCACTCTTTTGGCTGTGGTTGTACTTACTTGTTGTATGTGCTGTAGAAACTGCAGAAAGAAGAACAGAAGAGGAAAAAAGAAACCCAATAACAGCAAGAAGGTATGAAAATAAAGTTTATGTTTGAGATATGTATATTTATATAACCTTTCATTTGTATCCATGGTAACATTTGACCTTTCATTTGCATTAGTGTTACCTTACATGTTTTTAACCTTCAATGCTTCAGATGTTAAGTTTATAAAAAAAGTACAAACAAACACTAATGATGAGTATGTTACTTATCACACATCAAGTCGAGGTGATATTTCACACATTTTTCAAAATAATTTCTGCAACGGCAGTCCCTTGATTATGATGTATGATTACTGTGACTGTTGATCAATGTCATTTCACATCTGAACTGTCAGGTTAACCACCAGAGACCAAAGTCCTCATGAAGAGGCCATAATGCCTAAATAGTCATAGTTAACACCAGTTGTCAAAAATTTAATGGCCAGACAAAAATATTGGTCTAAAAGTTTAGATCAGTCTTTGGGCTGTAGCTCTATGGTGAAATGGGGGTTTTGTTTTATAGAGGAACATTTTTTGGCTACTTCCACCCAAGATGAATCAGTACCCCAATTATTACTATTTCTTATATATTAAAGAAAAAAATGGTTATTGATTTGGTACCACAGTTATATTGACTGTGAACTTCTATTTATGCGTCTCGATTTCAAGTAGACCAAAATGTTTTGTCTTAAAATTTAGACAATCTGAAACCAGGCTGTTTCTGAACCCGCCACACATTAGCAGTGCAACACTGTCACTCTTTGTTTGATTTTTAATTTTACAGTTTCATGAGTTGAAGAACATGGACAGAGTGATGCTGCTGGCAGATAGTTCTGATGATGAAATCTAAGCAATAAGATGCCAATGCCAACCCAATATCAAATCTTTGTCAAATTGGGAAAGATCTCGGGAGATCAGAAGCATTTAGGAGTGTTAGAGACATTTTGACATTTCAGATAACAACAGCTTTGTCGTATTGATCAGTATTTTGGTTCATCGAGGTTTTCTTAGTTTTAAAGTCATTTTAAAGTTAATAATAATGATAACTTTGTCAAATTGATAAGTGTCTTGGATGACTGAAGTTAATGGATTGATGACTTTTTGTTTACGACTGTGACATCAACATCTGCTCATACTTAAAAGATCTGAATTTTGATGACTGATAAAGCATAAGTCTTCCATTTTAAACACATACTCAAATACATTGGCTCTCTGAAAAGAAGTTGCAATCTACTTTGGTTCTTATATGAAAGACATTACTTTCAGCTTTGTGGTTTTTTCTTGAAAGATGCTATATTTAACTTCATTGGTTCTTGAAAGATGTTATCTTAGATCTCATTGGCTCTTATTTGATAGAATTTTTTCCCATTTCTTTTTTTGATAGATGCTTAGTGGTTTATCACATGATGTGATAAGCACCTGTGCATTATGTTAAAATGATTTGACTTACAATTTTTTATTTTACAAGTTTATATCCACCTTGCAGTAAATATATTAACATCTGAAATTGTAGTTATTAGTTTCTATAAATTACATGGTTTATTATGGACATCACCTGTAGTAGACAATCACTTAATCACTTATTTCTTGTGCAATGTTCAGGTAGCAATTTTTGTTATATTCTTGTCTGCAATCATCAATTGTAAGATGTTAAGGTGCTAACACAACTTACCAATTATTTCTGCTGTGTATATTTTGATTGTAGTTCTTTTGAAATGTGTATGTTAGTACTTTCATTGTAGGGTTTATTTAATGCGTAGAGTATGGTTCAATCCTTTCAGGAAATATTTTACAAATGTGAAATTATAATGCATAGGATAACATTAGAGATAATATAGAATTTGTTAGTATTGCAATTTGATGTTGTGGAATGGCACGAATTGAAAGGTGTATTACAGAATCTGCTTCCCAAAGATCCCAAAAATCATTTTATTCTTGAATTACTATTTTTAAATGTTAGTGGTGTAAAATCTTTCACAGTTTTGATTCATGTTTTCTTGTTTGTTGAAAGGTCAACTTGTTGTATTGCATTTATTTTTTTATATAGTTTATTACAGTGGGTATCTTGTTAACGTTGCAGTTGTTGTTTCAAGATCGCATTTCATTCCCAAAGTATCGTAGGACCATGTGTTTTATGTTAGAGCATGTTGCCTTTTGCTTTAATTTGGTACTGTATAATCTACATATTATATTTCACAGGGTTTCTGGGCGAATAAACCATTTGTTTATTATGTATGGACTTGTTTTATGTTCAGACAGAGTAGCAGCTGTACAATTTGCCATCGCCTGTCCCTGTCCATGTCACAGAAGTCCGGGCAGTGTAGCCAAATATGGAGCTTCTTGATATCAATACATTGCATTTCAGAGTGGTGAAGTTCTCTCACTTAAATCTGATAGCAGAGATATAGATTCAGAAAACAAAGCACCATTTTCAATTTCAATTGTGTTCTCAAAGTTCAAATATTAACAGACTTCATTTTTTAGATATCACTATATGGTATGCACACCCCTTTTGTTTTAGCTTTTAAAACATTGGTTTGGTAACAAAATTGAACAGCTGTGTAAATAGGTCGATTGCTTGGCTCACTCAGCTTAAGTCCCCAGAAAAAAAAGAGGGTGGGAGGTCATGATTGCAAAACCACAGGTAAAAGCTACGGCTTCACTGCCTAAAACAGTGTTTGTGCGCACTTGTGTTTGACTTCGGCAGCTGATTACCATAACAAAAGTTTGAGAAATAAAACATCACTCAAAGTATCAAACAGAGACAAATGAAAACGTGCCTTTTAACTGTGTTATATTAACTGATAATTTTTTTTGCAAAACAATTTCCTGAAATCGAATATTTGTAGTGTATCGTCGTTGATAAGGTTGAAAACGGCTAAAATTTCAACATTAGGGTATTTGCCTTTTTCGAAAAACTACGAAAAAGGCCGTTCACCATTATTAACCCTTGTAACGGATATCGTTAGTGTGGTGTACAACTATGGGTACTCGCGGTGTAGTACTCAGCCCAACAAAGGATCGCCGAAGCTCTTTGACACAACGCATGGTGTCCCCTCTCCGTAGGTGAAAACATTAATGGCTCCACATTTGGCGACGTGGTTGTTGACTCCGGAGAACTTTTTATGGTCGCCCCAGCATGTCGTCTGCTCTACACCTCTCTCCCACTCGCCGTTGTTTCCGTTCCAGCTGATGTAGTCGTTCTTTTCTCCGTGGACGACAAAGGCCTTAGACAAAAAACATGATCATTTAGAAAAAAAAGTGAATCTCAAGATTTTTTTGTTTAAGCTATGAGGCATGAGAAAAGAAATTTTCTAATTTTCTTTACTCAGCGAAGGTCTGTTTGAGAAAACATTTTCTTGGTGTACAAAAAGGGTAGCATAACAAAATGATTTCTTTTAAACAAAAACGCATGAGAAAAGAAACCCTGCCATAAAAAATCTATAAATGTCATACTACAACGTTCACTTTTCAAAAATTTCAAAATCAAAGGCTTTTAAAAATTCTGAGTTAATTGATCATAACTTTAAAAATAAACTTATTATAACAGAACATTAGGACAGAAAATTTTTCTATACGTTTTCAGTGTCTTAGGAATTGAACAGTCCGTCCATGTTCACAAAAATTGCTTGTTAGATTTGAGGCAAGCTTTCTATAACTGAAAGTAATCGTAAAGGCACCGCCCCGCGCTTTAAGGCATACAATGGGCGTAAAACTATAAAGTCTAGGTTAATTTTTTGTGGAGTTTTCAACTGAATCACCAAGGTATATTATATCTAAAACCGTTGAAAAATTTCTACTTAGTATATGTAAATCCACTTTCAGCTGTAAATTTCGCTTTTTAGTCATTGCTGTGTTGGAGATTAAAGCTGGTTCCTTTTACTCATGACGTTAAAACGGAAACCTCGAACCCTATAACGGGTTGATAGAACGTCATTTTCTCTATAATTTTGGATAGGATATGGGCCTACTGGTATTAGTGATTACGAGAAAATCGTTGGAAATTGCAGGAAAAATAGTTACTTAAGTATATGATGGAGTAGCGTCCATTGTATGCGAATATGATTGATCTACCTTTAATTGGAACCAGCCATCGTCTGTCTTGTTACAGTCCATGTCAACGTCCATCATCCAGTAGTGTGGCCCCATTGTGTTTATCGGGGTGTAACCAGCGCCATCTTTCGTAACGTTGACAGTCCCTTGACTAAATAAAACATAGCCGTCATTTTACACGACAGCAAGGCGGCTGAGTTTGCAAGAAAATATTTTTAACATTAGAATGAGTGCAATTTCACATGGAATGTATTAGTAATACCGGTGTGTTTTGGGAGGTTCTACCTGTAATTACATTTTCTCCCTTTCACAAATTGCCCACAGGTTATTATCTAACCTACACACACTGGACAAAAGAAGTGTCACCCCATAACTCAGAGTAATAAAAGTAGGCAGATCTTGGGTAGTTATAATGCCTGGTCTACTTATAATGTGACTAATGAGTATAAAACCGCTATACCGTGGAATTGTATTGTTGGTCTTGTACATGTACAGCAAATGTTATTCCTGTCTTCCTCCAATATGGTAAGATAAAGGTTATAGGTGCAAGTTATTAACCTGAAGAGGCGGAATATAAGCAATGTCAGAATATCGATACAATTGAATTGTTCAGTCAGAACCGTGCAGAGGGTATGGTCTCGGTATAGAAACACTGGCTCAAGAGACAGATTGCCTTTGATGGGTCGTCCAAGAAAAACTACTGGTCATGAAGACCGACGACTGATTTTGATGTCAAAGTTCGACGCTGCTTGTCAGTTGACAACACAGTGGAAAAATTTCACACATAAGAATGTGTCTGTGAAAATTGCTAGGCGTCGGTTACATGCTCATAGAGTGTACAGCAGGGTAGCAAGACTGAAACCTCTTATATCGTTACAAAACAGGCAACGTAGAGTGAACTAGGGTCAACAGGACCAGGAACTGGACAGTCCATGACAATTGGTCCTATATATATTTTTTCTGATGAGTGTCGCTTTGGTCTGACCTCTGATGACAGACGGGTACGATGCTGGCGAACTGCTGGAAAAGCATTTGAACCACATTAACTGAATTTTCGAACCCGGAGCAGCATATTCATCATGGTGTGGGGCTGCATCAGCATTCATGGCTTTGGCGAATTGATAGTGTTTGATGGAAACATGAATCACTAGAAATATATCTATGTTTTGGAGTCAGGCTTGCTGCCATCTATTACTAACATGTTTGGTGACAGGAATTATCCATTTGTTCACCAGGATGACAATGCTCCTTGTCACAGGACCAGTGCAGTTGATGATTGGTTTGACCAACAGAACATTCGCAGGGTGATGTGGCCTGCCCAGAGTCCGGATTCAAACATAATAGAAAGTGTGTGGTATGATATGTCAAAACTTTTGACAAATGCCCGTCCAACCAGTAGAGAAACTCTGTTATATAGGCCTACAGTGTTTCATGCTTGGGCCAGCATAAGCCCTGAACGCATCAAACAATTATATGACTCCTTGCCTCGTAGACTGGCACCTATTATTAGGTCACGTGGCTATGCCACTAAGTACTAATTTTGGACTTGAAACTGCATATTTTGATAGAATGTATATTTTGTTCGCATTTTGTGATTTTTTTGTGAAATTTGATGTTAATAAAATGATACCAGGAGCATATCATTCCACAGTCATTTATCTCCCCCATAGTATTGGTTCAGTAGGGGTGACACTTCTATTGTCCAGTGTGTGTAGTAGAGCGCTAGGCTCCTCTAAGGTACCTTTCTTTTGCAACGGTCTGGTAAATTGTCTCTCAAAATATACTGCGTCGGAAAGAAACACAAAGCTCGACGTAAAAAAACGTTTAAACTAGCATCATGAAAGGGAATCTCTCATAAGTAACCGCGTAGGCCTACTGAGTATGTATTGTTCGAATTTAGTCATTTTAACACAAAATTATGATTGATTTAATGTATTGATATAACTTGATTGAAGTTTTAACGGACAAAACTGTTAATACAAGATTCAAACATTTTTCGAAGCCACGCTAACGTACACGCCATATAGCATGCAAATATCAGTGTACTTTGAATCTTTGTTCTTTTTCGAAATACATACATAAAATGAGGTACATCCATGTTCATCAAATAAATATCATATTCTAATTGACTGCTTGGCTGTATCTTTTCACCGACTGACCTCATTGGCATGGCAACCCAATTTCGAATTACACGCGTTCAGAAGCTGGACCTGTTCTGGCATAAATCAAATACGCAAGACGCACTTGGAACTTACACATTGGTTGTCCACATCAAGGGAGTTCCTCCGGGCCTTTGGAAGGACTTAAAGTTCCATTGTCCCTTTTCTTGGGCATCCCAGTCAAGATTATTATCCCCTTGCGACCAGTCGTAGTAGCGGCTATCACTTCCAATGGTGGGCTGCACCCGATGGCGGATTGGAATCGGACTGCCGTCATATCGCCCTGGAAATTGACCAGTTTTGAAATTTTGTCTCGACAAAATCTTGACATTTATCATTATTCATGTGAATGTAATTATTGATGACAATTTTGGATTGTTTGCGCTTGTTTTCCTCAAATTATTTTTCTTCAGAAATATATTTTGATCTGATCTGTCTCTTTGTCTCTAACAAACTGCATGTTCAATGTCACGTTAGAAGTAACTTTTACATTGAATGCATGATGTTGGAATGAATGTCACTCTTTTCCTTACCTCCTCGTAAAAAGACGTACTGAGATGGATAAGACTGGCGTTTGATGAAGACCACTGTTCGTTGGAAACCCGACGGACTCGCGGAGGGCACCAACTGACCAAAACCTGTTTCGCAAAGAAATATGAGGAAACAAAACGGAAGCATTGTCATCGTACCAACTTGTGTCTTCGTTGAACTAAGAAGATAAGGCTCACTTTGTTATGAACTGAAAGTAACTAGTCTCTTTCATAACACACATACAGTATATTATATGGTATGTTTAAGACCTTGAATTATACCCAGGGGTCTATTAAACTTTATCTCCCCCCCCCGCCCAAAACAAAATAACAGTGTGATGTAGCGCGATTTAATGCGGCTGTAACCGTAACACTGAAGA